CAGTACTGGCCCCATCCCTTTCCCATCTCATGTGTAAATCCATCTCTGCCTCTGTGGTAAGCAGAGAGTGGAGTAGTAGGACATAGAGGATACACTGCCTTCCCCCACTGGGTTTCACAAAGCATTTTGTCTTATATTTGTCTAATGTATTTACTGCATTTAAGATCTTCCCATCCTTGCTAGCGATGGTTCTATGCTTCTATTTCTTTTCTCAATTAAACTCCTTGAAAAAGCTGTCTACATTGAGTGATTCCACTCACTTCTTCACCTCTCACTTTCTTCTAAATCCTCGGTATCTGGTTTCCAACCTCATCATACAGTTAAGATGACTCTCTCTAAACATTCCCATATAAACCAAAACATTTGTAGCAACGCTTTTTGTAATAGCAAAAAATTGGAAGCAAAATGGATATCCATCAATTGGGGAACGCTAAACAAATTGTGGTACACAGATGTAATGGAATATTACTGTGCTGTAAGAAATGATGAATATGATGCATTTAGAGAAGCATGGAAAAATTTATGCAATCTGATGCAAAGTGAAGAAAGTGGAATCAAGAAAAGAATACACACAATGACCAGGAACAGGGGTGTGCTGGAGCCAACTCAAACTGCCAGCAAGACTGATTATTACATTTTTAGTGTGAGCACATAGCCCTCAGAAGTGGACTCTACAAGTCAGGGCTTACTAAATTGTTTTGCTGATTGTCCAGACTAACAAAAGTGTTGGGGGAAATGACAATAATACAGATTAAACTTAAAAGTGTATCCTGCATACTTTTTCCCAGGAGGGATAGTTGTTAACTATTTACCAGAATACCCATGACTGGTACCGTTTAACCAGGAAAAAACAACCATAAAACAATCAAAAGTAAATGTTGCAAAATTACAAAGGACAAGTATGACTCCAAAGAACAGATAGGAGAAGACACCCTGAAATATACTCCTTTGCAGAGTTAGGGGGCCCAAGGGTGTGAAACGTAGCACATGTTTTCAGATGTTTTCAGTGTATTGATCATTTTTGCTGATTTTTCTTTTTTTTCTCTAAAAATATTATTTGCTAAAGGCAATGAGTCTGGAAGTGGGAGGGGGAAGAGGAAGGGGTATTGAGAGAAATTTTGGTGATATAAAAAAAAGATATCAATTTAAAAACGTATATATATATATATGTATGTGTGTATATAGACATATTTTTTTTCTCTCCAAAGTTATCTAATGTCCTCTTCTCAGTCCTCATCCTCATTGACCTCTCTACAGCATTGAACACAGGTGACCACGCTCTCTTCCTGGACACTCTTTCCTCTCGGGATTTTCCTAACACCTCACACCTTCCTGTCTTTCCACTGCTCTTACACATTACTCTCTTCTCTGCACTCCATGGTCCAGTCAAAGTGGCCTTCCTTCCAGTTCCTCATACATATTGCTCCGTCTTCCACCTCCATGGCTTTCCACAGGCTCTCTCCCAGGCCTGATATACTCTCCTTCCTGCCCCCTGCCTCTTAAAATCTGTGGCTTTCTTTCAGACCCAGCTCAAACACCACCTTCTAAAGGGTCCCTTTGCTGCTCCACTCCCCAAGCTGCCCTGAGGTTCCATCTGTTCTGCAGGTAACGTGTATGTCCCTATTTATGTACATTAGAATGTAAGCTTCTTGAGGTCAAGAACTGTTTCTGCTTTTTCTTTATATCTGCAGTGCTTACTTAGCACAGTGCCTGGCAAGGGCTTGGTAAATGATTGACTCATTGCTCCATATTAGATTATAAGCTCCACAAATTTCAAATGGTGGGAGGCAAAAAAGAAAGGATTCACTAAGGAGGTGGCATTTGGGTTGGGCCCTGAGGAATGAATTGGATTTTAACAGCTAGATGTAAAAAGGGAAGACACTTCAGACTTAAGGAACAGCAGGATCAAAGTCTTGCTAACATGAAATAAGAAGATGCTTTTAGGGAAGAGATAGGAGACCAGTTTGTCTGAGGTTCAGCATAGGAGAGGAGGATTGAAAAATAAATATGGAAAAGTAGGGAACTGGGTAGGGGCCAAAGCATGGAAGCTGAAGAGTTTGGGTTTTAATAACAACAATAATAATGATTATTATTATTATAACTAACATTTATACAAGTGCTTATTACAACCACCTCTTTATCCTAAACTTTGCAACTCACAGGGTTTTCTACACAATAGTCCCTTAATAAATGAGGGAGGGAACAGGGCTCCCAGATGGAGAGATGCCCAGTGGGGCCCCTCCTCTGGGTATTTCTACTTTTAAAACATGTTTTCTCACTCTGAGATCCAAGATAACCCCCGAGGGCCCAGCTTTGTTTCCTGTTCATCCTAGCTGGTTTAGTGAGCCCACAATTACACTCAATGATAATCTTGGGCCTAAACCTCCTCCTTTTCTCTGGCACCCCAGACTCTCTAGCTCTATAAAACACCACCCTGGAGCTTTCATCTATGGAGATTAAAGTGTTTTCTGCAGACAAAATGTCACCCATTGGGCCTCAGCAGATTTCTGGGAAAAGAGAGCATAAATAGAACAGGGATCATTCCTGCCAAGGAGCCAGTTTGTGGGGATGAGGAAGACAACCTCCAAAGACAAAAGAAAGCTGCGCAGGTGGCCTTCACCTTCTCTTTGCCTCTTCCTTTGACAAGCTTCAAAGTTCCAGGGATGTCATTAAGTTGTGTAGCAAAGTGAATGGATGAGAAGGCCCCTACTGTTGGCTATACCCCATCTCTGCTGTGTGACATATTCCCTGAGTCTTAAGCTTACCTCTCTACTTATCCATTCATTCAACAAATAGCATAGGCAAGGGACTGTACTAGGCCCCTGGAGGGATACAAAGATGAATCAGACACCGTCCCTGCCCTCAGGGAACATATAACATGGTGGGGGAGCTATGACAAACACACAAATAACTGTCGGGCATGGTCATTACATAAAGGTACCACTTGTTGTACAGTTTTCAGAGGGAAGAAATTGCAACTAGTTGAGGACGAAAAAAGGAAGGAGTCATTAAAGAGGTGGTATTTGGGGTGTGTTACATTAAAAATAACATTGGTGATTCCATTTTGCATTTACCCACCATTTTGTAAAGCTAAGTTTCAGCTGCTTATAAGTCACCTGATTTTGGAGAAGTTTCAAGATTACTCCCCTCCCCAAAGGTCACTTTAGTTAAGGAATGTCACAAAACTACCCCTCTCCCTCTCAAATCAGTGTCTCCCAATCCCCTCCACCAAAAAGAAACCAGGTGTCTCAATCCTTATAATTCTGTTTTTTATTCCCTCCAAACTGTATATTAACTGTGTAGAAAGCTACCGAGAGCCTTGGACCTGATTTGTTTCTGCAACCACATGCATTGCTAAATAAATCAGTGTCTTGATGCAATTACTCTGTTTCTTTATTCCACCCGTTAACAGTTGGGCCCCAAAGAATGAATTGGATTTTAATGAGAGCCATGGAAAGGGAAGGCACTTCAAACCTAAGGAACAGCATGGCCAAAGGCTTGGTGACATGATATCACAAGATGCATTTAGGGAAGAGATAGCAGGCCAGCTTGGCTGAAGTTCAGCACAGGGGAGGAGGAGTGAAAATAAATACAGGAAGATAGGAAGGGGCCTAGGCATGAAGGGCCTTGAATACCAGGCCAAAGAGCTTAGAGTTTAACAACAATAATAACTAACATTTATATAAGTGCTTACTAAGTACAAGGCACTATGTTAAGTGCTTTACAAATATTATCTCATTTGATCCTCACAACTCCATGAGGTAGGTGCTATTATTACCCCCATTTTACAGTTGAGGAAACTGAGGCAGAGGTTAAGTGACTTGTCCAAGGTCACATGGCTACTATCTGAGGCTAGATTTGAACTCGTGTCTTCCTGATTCTAAGCCCAACGCCATCCACACATTATCTATCTAGCAATGATGAGTGTTTGAAAATATTTGATCAGGGAAGGGACGTGATCAGAGATGTGCTTTAGGAAGACAGAAGTAACACTGTTGTGTCAGGGAGATGGTGGGAAGGGAAGGAGAGAATAAAGGCCAAAGTCCAATCAGTAGCTACCTCCCCTTGACAGCTGTCCCTCAGTCTGTCCGGTTGTTGGGATCTACAGCCTTTACCAGGTGTTTGGGTGACAAAAGGAGGGACTATTATTGTCATTATTAACATTACCAGGAGTAGCCCTTAGGAAGCTACTGTCTAGGTTTGAGTGACCCAGGGGCAAAGGAGAGTGCTCCCATTTTACAGAAGGGAAGAACAAGACCAGTGAACTTAATTGTCTTGCCACAACTAAGCCTGGGGAGTTGGCAATGCCCTCCATACCTCATCCCCTAGCCCTCAGGGAACTGAAGAAAATTGGGCTGGGAGATGAGGGGGTGGCAAATACTTTTTCTTATACTTCCACCTCCTGGAAGAGGAGAGGGTAATAAAAATGATAATAATAGGGAGAATTCTCTTTCTCTCCATTTCAAAACCCAACATTAACCCTTTTGTGGTCAGCCAGAATCTGATCCCCTCTGCCTAGCCCTGGACTGGGGGTAAAGGTGGGAGGGAGAGTAAGATGCTGGCAGGTCAGTGGAGGGCAGCAGAGCCTGAGCATGAAGGGTGGACGTTAGGCCTGTTCTCTAGGCAGTCTGGATCAAGGGAGGAGGAGGAGGAGGAGGAGGAGGTTCTGCGGGGGCCAGAGGGCCTGGGATATAAGAACAGAATCTGAGAGAAGAGCAGATGAAAGCAACCTATAGCCATGCCCTCCAAAACACAGAGGAAAACCAAGTGTGACTGTGGATACATTTCCATGCAAGGGGTCACTTTTCCTCCTCCTTCTCACTGCCCCTTCCTCCACTCCTTTAATTCAAACAAATTCCAGAAAGTCCAACCACTGAGGGAAAGTCCTGGCCAGCTAGCAGCTGCCTGTGCTCCTTCCCTCTGGCCCTGGCCCGGTGCCAGGGTCCTCCCCTGCCCCACCCCCCATGAGTTACATAAATTCCCTTCCCTCTGCCCCTTCCCAGTCCATAACTGCAGCCTCTACCAGCCACAGCCAGACTGCAGAGCAGAGAGCAGCATGGGTAAGAGCAAAGCCACTTTCCCCCCTTCCCCTGCACAATCATAGACACCAGGAAAACCCAGAGGAGCCTGGGCCCTAGCCTTTCCTCCCCAAGTTATTCCTCTCTCCCCTTCAGCCAATGCCTTTCGTTTGTTAAGGCATTCTGTGGGTATTAAGAAAGACAGAGAAGAGCGTCCTTATCAGGCGCGGCCTTTTCTTTCCCTCCCACTTCAGCTGGGCCTGGGATTCCCAGATTATGTCCTACCTACCAGTGTTGCATTCACCACCATTACCCTTCTGAAATTATTATCAACTCGACCACAAGGCTACCCATTGACCTTACGTTGCCTCAGCTGGGTGGAAAAGTAGCATCAGCAGTGTACCCTCTCCAGGGTCAGTGAACCCAAGAATCATACCCTCACCCCTTCCAACGCTGGCTCTGGCCAGCTCAGGCAGCCCAGACACCCAAGGCCATTTAGGGAAAAGAAATCAGTGGCCAGTCCTTATAAGCTTCAAGTATCCTTCCCTTTGTCCAAACAGTCTAGCCCTGACTTATTAGCCCCATCTAGTAGATAGCACCAGGCAACAGAGTTTTTGTCACCACTATGAAAATGGTACATTCTTGCCCCTAGCAGCCTTAGCTATGTGGGCTGGATGCCTGTCGGTATGCCTAGAAGGTATTCCAGTTGGGGATTTCCTTGGGTGCTCAAAGACCCTTTTTTAACATGATGGGGTGGGAGGACTGGAACTGAATACTATCTGGAACCTCTGAAAGACTGATGGAGGAGGAGCTAGAAGGGAATGGAGAAACCAAGATGAGAAACTATCATTCCTGCTCTCATGCTTCCCTACCATCTTGGAGAGATCCAGTCTCTTCATGACTCCATTTGGAGCGGTTCGCCATTTCCTTCTCCAGCTCATTTGACAGATGAGGAAACTGAGGCAAACAGGGATAAGTGACTTGCCCAAGGTCACACAGCTAGTAAATGTCTGAGGCCAGATTTGAACTCAGGTCTTCCTGATTCCAGGCCCGGCACTCTGGACACTGTGCCACCTGGCTGCCCTGCACCCTGGAGAGGTTTTTTGTCTCTGATTTTCTCCAACTCCCTTTTGATCTTTTGTCTTTGTGTCTCAGTATTTCTGCCTTTATATCTTGGAGTCTCTGCCTCTCTCTCTCCTTGTGCCCAGGGCTCTCCCTGGTATAGTGCTAAACTATCAGCAGAGGACCATAAAGTGGCCAAACGGGTCTCCTTAATTCCCTCCTCTGTGGTCCCTCCCAAGCTCCACCTGAGTAGGATATTGCCAAGATCCAGGTTCCATTCTGGACCCAACATCTCAGTAGTTCTTTTGCAGCTGTTGCCTTGCTGATGCGCCACAGGTTTACCAGGTTAACATCAGGAGAGTCAGAGTTGTAGGGATCCAATGAAGAGCGTCTCTCACTCTCCACCAGCTACCCCTCTGGAGCAGAGACCAGATTAGCTGTGATGCAAGGAGGTTTGAAGCAGGACCAGCACCCTTCCTTTCTTCTCTTACCCTCTGTTCTACTCCAGAGGGTGCTCTTTCTCAATTCACAGCTCTTCTCTCCAGTCCTTTCAGGCTTAACTCCAAATGCCAAACTGTGGGGTACCTAGCAGCTGCCTAAGTGGAAGTCTCTGCCAAAAAATAATTCCTTTCCCCTGGAATCATTTGGGAATATCTCATTCCTAACTCTACTCCAATGATTTCCACCACTGCCCTCCCCATAAACAATACCACAGCTTTCTGGGAATATCTACTGGATGTTACCCCTAAACTGCAGCAGCCCCTTAAACCTCACAAACACGGCTGGACTCTCCCTTTAGAGGCTACTGTATCCGGGCTTCTAGTTATATAATATTGGTCTTTGCCAAGAAGTCTCAGGGAGGACAGAGTATTGCCTAACCACACCTGACGTGGGTCTGTCTTAGGAGTTTACTATTGTGTGCTCTCTCCCAGCTTGGAGAGGATTACTGAGACTCCTCAGAGACACTTTAGGAGATTATCAGCAGAAAAAGGTTTTCAGTTTCCTGGATCCTGTCCCCTTAGACACATACATACACGCTCAATCTCCAGTTTATACTTTCCTCTCTCCTCTCCTGACATTCTAGTAGAGAAGGATGAGCAAAGGGTGACAATGGAGGAGAAAACAAGGGGCAAGTGGGGAAATTGAGTCAGATGCCTGTGCCAGCTGAGCAGGTGACACAGGGTATGGGGTAAGCCTGAACTGATGTCTATAGTACGGCTATAGAGTAAAACACCTCTCTAATCTTAAATTTGTTTCTTTCACAGCTAAATGTGAAAAATGTGGACCTGGCTATCCTACTCCTCTGGATGCTATGAAAGGCAAGTGGATCTACTCCCCTGGGGCGGTCTGGGAGTGGTGAGAGGTGCCAGTAGTCCCAGCACTTGCATGTTCCTTGGAGAAGCCAAAGGGACGCTCTGCCTTTGGACTGTTAGGCACCCAGCTGTTACTGTGGGTGCAGCACCTCTGCTGAATGAGCAGCATTTGGCTTGGTGTTCCCCTGCCTCTTCTCTGGGCTCCCCACCTATTCTGGTCCCTTCCTGTCCCGCTATGGTGCCAGTTCTCAGACTTCACCTAGTTCCCGCTGCTTGCTAGGTCTGTGTAGGTTGACTCCCATTGTTTATCCCTTGACGTATCAGGACCCCGAGAGGAGATTGTCTACCTGCCCTGCATCTATCGAAACACAGGCATACAGGCACCTGACTACCTGGCCACTGTTGATGTGGACCCCAAGTCTCCTTACTACAGCCAGGTGAGATTGGGTGGCGGGCATCAGGTGCCCCTCCCCCCACCAAGGTGCCATCCAAACACTTGCTATACCCTTGTCGTCTTTTCTCCATCTGAGTTGCTCCAATTTGGCGTCTCAGTCGGATCTCACCTCTTTCTCAGTTTGTGGAACTTTTGATAAACCTCCTTCCTCCTTCCCCTACTCAGCACTCTTCCCCTCTTTGCTCCCAGGTGATACACAGGCTGCCAGTGCCACACCTGAAAGATGAGCTGCACCATTCAGGCTGGAACACCTGTAGCAGCTGCTTTGGAGACAGCAGCAAATCCCGCACCAAGCTCATCCTGCCCAGCCTCATTTCTTCCCGCATCTATGTGGTGGATGTGGACTCAAATCCCAGGGCCCCAAAGCTGCATAAGGCAGGTTCCGTTCTCCTCTTGGCCAGGACCGAGTATCCACAATGTCTCACCTTCCCTGTTCTGCCTGCCCCCGGCCCTCTGTTCCTAGGGGAAAGGGAGAATTCCCCCAAGTAGATTCCATGAGCTCTCTTTCGTGGGAAGGAGGAAGGAAGAAAACTAGATCTTAGAAGGAGGAGACAGAGGAATAGGAGAAGCCTGGGATATCCCCATCTGGGGAGATCTCTCTGTACAGGATAACTGGGGGCATAGAAGATGGCCAACGATGGCCAAGCACTTGTATTTCCTCATGGGTGGGGCTAGGAGCCACTGGGCTTGTAACGTAGCAGTCCAGGCTTCCAAGTTCTGTTATGCCCCCCCTCCAGAGAGAGGCAATCACTAGAACAGGAAGGGGAGTTTCTGGAGGTACGTGCCTCACCCCTACCTCATTTCTCTGAAGTATGTAAAACCACTTTTTGAATAAGTTGAAATAGGGAAGACATGAGGACGGTGAGGAGAATGCCTGAGCCACACGGCTGCCGACTCCCTAATCCCAACTCTCGTCCAGATTGTGGAGCCCACAGAAGTGATGTCGAAGTGTGACCTGGCCTACCTACACACCAGCCACTGTCTGCCCAGTGGGGAGGTGATGATCAGCGCCCTGGGGGATCCTAAGGGCAATGCTAAAGGTACCAGGGCTGCTGGGATATGAAAAGGAAGGGATCTTGTGCGCCGGGAATCTCAGCATAGGGCAGAGACCAGCATGTCTAGGCGGGAGTTGCAGAGGTAGGGTGAGGGCTAGGTTCGCCTCAGGATGTTGGGGAGCACTCTAAGCTGCTTCTAACATATTAAATGAATGAATGAAAAAGCTCCAGAGTGCTTCCTTATATGCCAACCACTGTGCTGGGTGCCAGGGACTCAAACAGAAAAGACAGGCCCAGCTTTCAAGGACTTCATGTTCTAATGGGGGAGACAATCCAAAGAGGAAATTTTGGCTCCAAGTCAGATGGAAAGGTCCCATGGTCCTTAGGGTGCAGCAGCAAAGCAGCGGTTAATGCATCCTCCTGAATGTCCTTTCTATTAATAAAACTCCATTTATTTCTGGTGTTGAACATCTGAGAGTGCCAAGCACTTTAGTGGTAAGAGCTTTCTCCTCTGGGTTTTCAGTCACTGTGGATGCTGAAGAGGCAGGTGTTGGGCCACATGCCCATGAGGATTGGTCCCCTGGGTGATGGCCTTGGGATTGTGTTTTGGCCTTTCTTTGTATTCCCGGTGCTTTACACAGTGCCTGGTACACAGTAGGTGCTTAATAAATGCTTGTTGCCTCAACTTGGTCTGGTAGGCACTGCTCTTCCTGGGACTTGAGTTGACCTGCCTCAAAGTGGGAGTTAGGGTGGCAGCAGGAATAGTGGGTTCCTTCTCCATGAAGGTAATGGAATGCTGTGATGAAAGGGATGTAGGGAAGATTTCCTATCAACTGTGACCTTGGTCAGCTCATTTAACTCCTACAGTCCTGTTTCTTCATCTGTAAACTAGAAGCTGGACTACAAAGTCTTAAGATTCTAAGAATGGGAGACCCAGAGTAAGGGCATCAATCCTTTTAGCACTCAGTATATGTGAAGAACTACCTACCTTTAAGGGCCAGGAAGCAAAGGAATGATAGCATGGTGCCAGGGACCACATACCATTCGTTTCCTTCCTGAAACCTCTCAATTTACAGAACCAAGATATTGCAATGTGAGGGGGAAGATGGTATTGGGAGATAAACTATTGGGGATCTAATGCTGCCTGGAAGTTATGTGCATATGGACAGGGCTAGTTTCTGGGGTGGGATGGGTGTGCGTGTTAACCTCTCTGTAATGTCTTCCCTCCTCAGGAGGGTTTGTACTGCTAGATGGGGAGACATTTGAGGTGAAGGGGACATGGCAGAAGCCTGGAGGTGCCGCTCGAATGGGCTACGACTTCTGGTATCAGCCTCGGCACAACGTCCTGATCAGCACTGAGTGGGCTGCCCCCAATGTGTTCAAGGATGGCTTCAACCCTGCAGATGTCTCTGCTGGTGAGGGGTCCGTCTGTATGTTTCATGCCTCCTACTCTGACTCCCTACTTCCTCCTGAACCCTGGATCTCATTTCTTAGTCCTTCCAATTTTTACGTTCCTGAATAGCAGGCTCTTGGGGACAGGGTCTAGGGGGTGCTGAATGTTCTTTCCTCCATCCTAAACTTGGCTCTGATTTCCCGTTTTCTCTCTTCCTAGGACCTTTTGCTCCCTGCTTCCAGCTTCTTGCCTTGGTCTTTAGCCTCGATCACCCCTGTCCTCTCTCAGCCCTCCACCCCATGCTTGTGTCCTGATAGCTAGAGATTCCCTGCCCCTCCTCTCTGTGCCCTAACCCTCCATCCCTCTCAGGGCTGTATGGGAGCCAGATGCATGTCTGGGACTGGCAGCGTCGGGAGCTTGTACAAACTCTACAAATGCAGGATGGGCTAATCCCTTTGGAGATCCGATTCCTGCATGACCCAGCTGCCTGCCAGGGCTTTGTGGGGTGTGCCCTCAGCTCGAATATCCAGCGCTTCTACAAGACTGAGGTGAGAGGAATGCTACTGTGCCATAGGAAATGATGAGCAGGCTGGCTTTAGAAAACATGAAAAGACTTGCAAGACGCAATGCAGAGTGCAATGGGCAGAACCAAGAGAACACTGCACACAGTAACAGCACGACTGACTAAGCTGTTCTGAGTAATCTGATCACTCGAATCAATCACCCGGGACTTAGGAAGGAAAATGCCACCCCTCTCCAGAGAAAGACCCGATACATGGAAGGAGGGGTTGTATGGTTCCACATACTGCTGTTGGTCAGTCATTTTCCGTCATGGCCGAATCTTCGTGACCCTTTTTGGGGGTTTTCTTGCCAAAGATTCTGGTTCCACATATACATCTATATCAAATGTTGGCCTTCTCTAACGTGGGCTTGGGAATGAGGGAGACAGCTCGGAAATCAAAATGTAAGGCCCCCCCCATTTTTTTAAAATGATGAAGTGAGGCACTACCATCTCCATTAACCTTCATATCCCTCATTCTCAGACTCCTATCAAATGGTTCCACGAGAAAACAAGTCTACAGCTGCATCTTCCCCACCCCAACCTGCACGTCCCCATGGTCGTGGTCCTCTTAACATACTCAAAACCCAGACAACACAGCAGGTGTTCAATAAACATTTGGTAACCAACCTTTCCCTTCTTCCGATCTGAAGGGGTCTGAATCTGTCTCAGTCTCTCCCCACCTCTCCTGGTTCCTGAACTCTCTGGTTCTCTTTACCTCTGATACAGGGAGGGAAGTGGGCAGTTGAAAAGGTGATCCAGGTGCCATCCAAGAAAGTAGAGGGATGGATGCTGCCTGACATGCCAGGTAACACCAAGGGGAGGGCTGGATGGAGGCATGGGCATGTTCCTGCTTCCTGGAGGTGGGGAATCCGGGGATCAAGTCATCTTTTTCCCTCCCCTCAGGCCTGATCACAGATATTATCCTGTCACTTGATGATCGATTCCTCTACTTCAGCAACTGGGTGCATGGTGATCTGAGGCAGTATGACATCTCAGACCCTCAAAAGCCCCGCCTGACTGGACAGGTTGGAGAGCTGGGGGAGAGACCCGTGATAGGGGAGGCAGCGAGGGATAAAGTAGAGGGAAACCAAAGGGAATGAAAGTTGAGGAAAAGAGGAAAAAATAAAGGAAAAGAGGATGTGATTAGGGGTGGGGGGGAACAGGACAGATATTTGAGAAGGCAAAGGAATCAAGAGAGAAGGAAAGGCAAGAAGCCTAGGAGGGATGGCAAGGGAGAGTGGAAAGGGAGCCCCAGGGGCAAGGGTAAGTGGGACAGCTGTGGATATTGGGATCAGTGATCTGGACACAACTCAAAGGTGTGGAGAGAGCAGTCACCTGCATCACCTCTCTCTGGATCAGATATTCATTGGGGGCAGCATTGTTCGGGGAGGCCCAGTGAAAGTCCTGGAGGATAAGGAATTGAAATGTCAACCAGAGCCCTTGGTGGTCAAGGTAAAAGCACCCCATCCCCTCAGGAATGAAGATCTCCCACAATCCCCTTCCCAAAGGCCTGGGACCCTGACATATGAGCAGTTTTCCTCTAACCCTAACCCTAACCCTACTCTCCCTATTCTCCCACAATGACCCTCCCAATGGCCCGGGACCCTGACATATGAGCAGTTTTCCTCTAACCCTAACGCTAACTGAGTAAACCTAACCTAACTGAGATATATCTCAGCAGAAGCTATCAGAATCTTTGTGCTCCTTCCCCTAGGGTAAGAAGATTCCAGGGGGTCCCCAGATGATCCAGCTCAGCTTGGATGGAAGGCGTCTCTTTGTCACCACCTCCCTGTACAGTGCTTGGGATAAGCAGTTCTACCCTAACCTCATTAAGTAAGACCCAGCCTCTCTTCCCCAATCCCTGTCTTTCCCTCTCCACCACCTCCAAGGAAACTCCTTTCCAAGCTTCTCTCCCAGCACACACTCCCATATCCTTAAGTAGAAACTCAACTCCCATGATCATCCTGAAAACTTTCCCCTAAACACCATCCCACATAAGTCTCCACTGCCAAGTTGGGGAGAAAAATTCCCATGGACTGGTTAGTAGGGCAGAGGTGAGGGGGGAGTGAAAAAGAGAATCACAAGGGTTGGAGGAGACTTGACTTTCTCTTTATCCCATATATCTTCTCATATCTCACATATCCCCTTTCTTCCAGGGAGGGCTCAGTGATGCTGCAGATTGATGTAGACACAGAAAAGGGGGGCCTGACACTGAACCCTGACTTCCTGGTGGATTTTGGGAAGGAACCTCAGGGCCCAGCTCTAGCCCATGAGCTCCGCTATCCTGGGGGTGACTGCACCTCTGACATCTGGCTCTGAAACCTGCCCCTCCCCTACTCCTGAGCCTACACTCCTCCGGCTCTGTAAGGCCTAGGCTTCTTGGTAGAGGCCTCTGTTCCTTTCCAAAAGCCTTCTGGCTTCCTTCCCCATCCTGTCCCACCACAGCCCTTTAGAGAATCTAGTCTGGAGTCTTGAGAATTAGCTCCCTCTTTTGGATCCCTAATTGTGTTTTGCTCATTACCTGCTATTTTTATATGGCTTCTTGGCTGACTTTAGTGTTGCCATTATCTCCCCATCCCCCCACTCCCAGGTGGTGGGCATTAAAGAATAAACTGAATACTTTCCTTTGAGTCTTTTATAATTGGGGGAGAGAGGCATTTGTCGTGGTACATTCCCAGCAGGGATGGCCCTTTATGCTTAGGGTAAGGAAGCATACAAGAGATTTATGAGCTTGTAAACCTACCTCCACTTGTACATTATCTGTGTCTAGTTAGCCCACGTGATTAGAACGGAGTGCTAATGAGGCCAAAAACCACTGATGCATTAATTAGCTTTACTATCTTCCACAGCCAGAGTCTACCACCCTTCTACTCCCAACTAGCCACTGATGAGGTCATTAGGGGATAAAGAGGAAGGGCTGTCCCTGTTGAGATAGTATTTGATGCTGTTTCCTCAGGTGGAAAATGAACAGTACACATGCTTCCCACTATTCTCAATTCAGGATATATTTATCAAGTACGGGGGATGTAGAGACCAAAAAAAAAGTCTCTACTGCCAGGAAAAATACAATCTACATGTGCAGGCACACAATATAAACCAAATTGAAAAAGGAGAAAAGAATTTATATGTAAGTTTCTACTACTGTAAATGTGCATGAGGCCAGAGGGACTATTCTTTAAAGATCAAAGGGGCAGAAACCAATCATGCAAATTGACCTAAAACTTCATTGTTCTGGTGAAGGATTTTCTGCCAGACCAACCCCTGTCACCCTCTCCCCCCATCCCAAGCTCTCCTCTTCTTCTTGAACTTGACTCTGAAGAGACCCCTAGTCTGTGTCACTGGTCCAGAGCCCGAACACCTTCCCAGAAGACCACAGAGAACCCCCAGCCAAAGGACTTCCCACTGGCCCCAGCCAATGGATTGCTTAATGAGCCCTGGAAGGGCACGTTGCTGAAACCTGTTCACCAGACTGGCACTTGGCCGAGAAAACTACGTTAGGTTTAAATAATTTCTTCACTCACTTTGTAGGGTCTCCTTTTATCAGTTGTACTCTCCCTCCAGCTCTACTCATCTCAATTAAGAATATCTGTCATCCTCAGGACCCTCACCTTCAACCTGTTCTCGTTCAATTTTCTCTTTTGCTTTGGGCCTGCTGGGGTTATAATTAAGGAACCTCAGGAATGAGGCCATTGATTCAGACTTTAGATACCAGACTAAAGACCGTGCCTCTTGGTAGAAGCTTCATTTTGAACTGACTAAGTCTCAGAACTGGAAATGATTTGATTGGCTCAGATTACTGCAAAACAGAACCACCCCTCTGTGCTGAATTCATAAAAGGGAATACACTGTGGCTAAGACTAACAGGGTTTCCCTTCCCTGAATAGAGGGGCCAGTCAATGCTGAGAGCAATAGATAGCGTTATTCACTGCGTTCAGGGGAAGATCGGGTAGTTTAACTGACGAAATCAAGGGGGCAATGGAGGGGGAGATCCTGGCAATGGAGGAGCTCGTCCTGAAGCAATTAGGGCGATGATCAGCATTGCCTGCCACCCCACCCCAATCTTCCCCTCCACTGTAATAGCTCTTTCTTCTCTCTTTTACCTTCTACCCCATTCTACCTCCTCCTTCCCCCTTCTCCCAATACATCCCTCTTTCTCACCCTTTAATTTTGTTTTTTTGGACATCATCCCATCATAGTCAACTCACACCCATACTTTCTGGCTATGTATACTCCTAATCGTAGGACAATGATCAGAAAAAAGAATTCTCTGATTACTTCAGTTAATGAAAATATTTCTTGTTCAACTTTAACCAGCTAGAAAGGAGAACCCTTAAAGGAAGTGAGTGGTCAAAGGGAGACTAAATGGTTTTAGGAAAATGAGTCTCTAAAGATGTACCAAAAGTTAAGTTACTATTGTTCTATTTGACAAAGTAAACTATTAATTTAACTTTTACCTTACTCTGAGCTCTATAACTATGTTTTATCATAATGTAAAATTTTCCTTGTTCAAGAATCCTAGGGGCAGCTAGATGGCACAGTGGATACAGTACCAGCCCTAGAGTCAGGAGGACCTGGGTTCAAATCTGGCCTCAGACACATGACACTTACTAGCTGTGTGACCCTGAACAAGTCACTTAACCCTATTGCCTAGCCAAAAAAAACAAAAGAATCCTATAAACTGTGGTTTTAAAATGACATGTATTAGATAGATATCTAAGGGGACTATGTCATTTTGAACATTTCTTTTAAGTATATATTTAGAATAAAAATTAATAAAAATTTGTTTCTAGCAGGCTTGTGTCTACAACACAGAGTACAGTACAGTTTTTCTTCCACACTCCTATCTATACTTGTTAAAATCCCACTTAGAGTTGAAGCACAAACCTCTCCTTTTTCTTATTTAAACTAGGAGGGGCTTTAGAAAAACTGACACACTGATGCTCTGTTAGTGGAGCTGTAACTTGATCCTACAATTCTCGAAGAATTTTGAATTAGTCAAGAAAAGTCAACACACACAAGAACAATATATACAAAAGAACAAAATATACAAAGGTAGTTTAGAACCAGTTTGTATAGGGCCTTAAATGCCAGTCTGAGGAGTGTTTATTACAATAGTAATAACCTTTTAACTGGTTGTCCTGCTTCCAGTTTCTCTCCTCCTCAATACCTCTTCTCTCCCTCTCCTCTCCCTAACACTCCTTCTATACAATAGCCAAAATGTTTCAGCCCAAGATGCCTTTCAGATCTTGTAAATTCCTTCCTCAGAAATTTCCAGGGGCTCCCTACAATCTCAGCAATAGAATATATACTCCCCAGCCTGGCATTTAAGGTTCTATAAGGTCTGGCTCTAACCCACTTTTCAATTCTTATTTCACATTACTTATAGGATCAAAGATTTAGAGTTGAGAGATCTTCTAACCTCACCCCTCATTTTACAGATAAGAACACTGAGGACCAGAAAGGTGGATTTGATGAGATAGTTCTAAATCATCTGCCCTTCCTGCCCTAACTCTCAATAACTTTTGATCCCTGTGCCCTACTAGTCATTTTGTACTGCGTATCAGAAGCTGTATCCAATTTGTGAAGTAAGAGATGGGGAATGGACATTGATTGGCCCTGGCTAGTCCCATCGCCTGGAGTGCCTAAGACAAGGAGGAAACTAGGATTAGTTCCTATCTTCTGATCCTCATCTTCCTATCATGGTCTTCATCTGTGTCATCTGAACTGCCCCCTGTTGTAGAAATGACAGACCCAGGTGTCCTTACCCATCAACAAGAAGGAAAAGAGAGCTTAGTATATAAGTATGGATTTAGAAGGACCTTAGCAGTCATCAAGTTTGACCTCCTACTTTTATAGATGAGGAAATAAAAGCTAAGAGAGATTAAGTAACTTGCCCAGGGTCATACAGCTAAGTATCTGAGACAGGATTCAAATCTGAGTCTTCCTAACTCTATCAAAATCCTCTTGTAGTGCCATCAACAAACTCCCTTCTTCTTCTTCCTGTCACAGCCTGAAAATCATCACATGTGAAGTCTCCATTACATATGGAGATAAGTAGGAAAGATGTTTCAGGCACAGGGAAAAAGTCAGGGCAAAGGCTTGGAGATGGAAGATGAAGTGCCATGTACTAGAAAGAGCCAACTAGTCTGACTGAACCACAACGTATAAGTGAAGGGGTAGCTCTGGAAAACCCATCTGGGACATCTGCATTGCCCTACCTGCTGAGTAGATTGAGGTCAGGTTGAAAAGGGCTTTAATCAGCTAGGTGGCGCAGTGGATAGAGCACTAGCCCTGGATTCAGGAGGACCTGAGTTCAAATCCGACCTCAGACATATAATACTTACTAGCTGTGTGACCCTGGGCAAGTCACTTAACCCCATTACTTTGACAAAAAAAAAAAAAAGAAAAGAGAAGGGCTTTAATCCAATTAGTAAGATAAGAGGCAGACTCTGGATTTTATTGAGCAGGGAGTGATATGGTCAGACCTGCCCTGTAGGAAATCACTTTGATAAGCTGTGTGGAGGATAAAATGGAGCAGGGAAAGGCTTGAGAAGGATACTGCAGAAGCCCAGGAGAGGAAAAGAAGATCTGAACTATGGTGAGTAGATGTAGAATTGATAAGACTTGGGTGAGAGTGAGAAGTTGAGGAGATCACTAAGGTTTAGAACTTGGTGACTGAACAAAAAAGGGAATGATTTCCTTACAAAAATAGGAAAGTTTGGAAAATGGGTGGGTTGAGGTAAGAGACAACAAGGACTACTTTGGATATGTTTTGTTTAACATGCCTATGGAACATCCAGTCTGAGCTGTCCAGTAAACTGTTGGCAATGCAGGGGTAAAGTCACGGGGAAGCCTAGGATGCAATACACAGCTCTGGGAATCCTCAGAAGGAAGGAAGCGAACCTGTGTGAACTGATAAGGTCACTGAGAGCAGAGAAAGGAGAAGACCTGAGATGGAGCCTGGCTGTGCACCCACAGCTAGAGGACTGAGACAGCAAAGGAGACTGAAAAGCAACTGTCGGGCAAGGAGAAGACAAACCAAGAGAAAGTAATGTCACATAAAAACAACAAGAAAGAATATCTAGGAGGAAAAAGTGGTCAACGATGTCACACACTGCGAAGAAGTCAAGAAGGATGAGCACTGGGCGAAGAGATCTGCCAATGAAGCGATCACTGCTAACTCAGGCAGGTCCTGGGCCCAAAGCCTCTAGGCTCACACAGGATCAGTCCAATCTCCAGGTCAATCACAAAGGAGTCATGTTCTTGCTTAGGTCTGTTATGCTCCTACCCTGGAGCTAACTACAAGGAAATTTCCAAAGTCAGTCAATCAGCATACATATATTAAGCACCAAGTACTGAAGATACAAATACAAGAGTCCTTGCCCTCAAGAAGCTTATATTCTTCTGAAATGTAAAGCTTAGGTACAGTCGTGTCTAGGTTTCCCCATATGTGGTAATGGGTTTTCCAGCTCCTGTACAGGCACTCAAAGTAATAAATACAAACTGGATATGGGACATCCTTTATTTGGTTGTGTGTGTGTGTGTGTGTGTGTGTGTGTGTAGGGGGGAAACAGAAGATACAAAGGAATCATAGGAGCCCATAGATAGAGAAAACACACAAAACATTTAAATAGATTATTAGCTGCTCTCCAAAGGGAACAGAACTTGAGGGTGATATTTGGGCAATTAAGTGATTTTCTGCTGAGTTCTTCTTTCCCACAGAGTCCTGTACGGTCCCCTCCAAAGACTCAGAGTCCCACACTGTGGTTTAGACTCTCCTCCTCCCTTCTCCCCTCCCCACTAAGTCTGTAATACAAGCATAATTTGAGGGCTCCCCTTCTGCTCCCTTCTTGGAACATCGTATTGACTGCTTCAGTCATGTGATAGATTTCAAAGTCTATCAATACCCAGTCTGCAAGTAACTGTAAGGCTGGAAAAACCCACTCTGTGGTGCCCTACTCTTGGGATGTGGGCAAGCACACGTCTGCCTCTGCCAGGTACTTCAGCTCTAAGTCACCACCAACTCCTGAGGGTGGAAAAGGGAGAACTCTCTTACCCTGACCTCAGCCTACCCAGACACAAGATCCAAGTGAAAAGGTGAGACAGGAACAGAAAAGGGCAGAGCTGGTCTGTCATACAGACCACGGCAAAAAGTGGTCCATTCCTGCTCTAGTCCATCTTCCTGAGTTCCAGTCGGCCAATCAATTGTCTTGGAGGCAGCCTGGACAATGAAAACCAATCAGGCAAACACAGGAACTCATCACTGCTTTGGAAGACAGCTGGGAAGGCGTGCCCCCATCCTTTCAGCAGAAAAATAGTTAGTTAAAAGTGGGAAGTAAGGCAAATATTTCAGATGCTGCCAGGGAATGGAATGATTTTGACCACATACTTATCTATGCTTATCTGTTACAAGGAAAGTTTCTACTGCGGCCAAAAGGAGTCATTGGGAAGTGATAGCGAGGTTTTAAAAAAAGAGCACCAATAATTTTTTTAAAAAGAAAACCAATGAGGTGTTTCCTGTGTCTGCTAAGCAAGGTGCTAACGGGCATGTCCACATACTCTGTGGGGAGCTGCCACTCAAGATGCCCCAACAAAGGCCCTGGTGCACTCTGTAAACTCATCAAGCTGACTAGGGAGCTCATGAAATCGATCAAGGGCTTGCCTGATCAATTGTCCTTGCCCTATTTGCAGTACTTGCTACACATCCAGCAGCTCCCAATTCTCTTCCCAGCAAAATACTGATGATATAGAGGTGCAGGCCTTCTGGGGAGTCTACAAACCTTTAACTGTTCTTATTCCTGAACCCCTATTTCAAACACACTTTTTCCTCCTCCTCTATGCCCACCTCTGTGCTGAAGTCACTACACATCGATGTATCCGCTGGTTTGACTTTGAGGCTATGAGTCAGTCCTTCACATAACCACCACCTCCTCTTACTCTGCAAACAATGCTGGCACATAAGCTGCAATCATTTTCATGATGGCCTTTCTGCAGATACTTAACCATGAGTACTGCAGTACAAGATGATAAAATGTCCCATGAACCATTTCTAGTTGCTTTTAGACACACGAGGGAGCTAACTCCACAAATTCCTTTATTGCCTCTGCAAGGAGAACCTGAGCTGTTGTTCCATGAGCTGCAACCCTCTTTTGTATTCCAGCTTCATTAATACAAAAAGTGTCAAGCTGTATGGATATAGTAGACACACAAAACAGCAAAGATATGGTGCCCATCTGAGCAAGTACTCCTCCTTACTCACTAGTAATTAGTATGCTTATGCAACCAGAGGACTTTCCCCATCTCAGTCTGAGATCTTCTTGAAGCACTAAGTGTGTGGGGTACAGAGACCCTACCAATGAATCGGAGACTCAGAGATATTAGCAAAAAGAATAGTTCATTTATTGGCTTTCTCAAGAAAGGACACACCCAGCATCGCTCAAGATGGCTCCAGCCAGGGTGTGCAAGGGAGTGCAGCTCAAAGTCGGTTTACATAGACCCTGACTCGGAACCTCCACCCACCCACTAGCTCCTCTTCCCATTGGCTGCGCTTCAGAGCTCACAGTCTAATCTCGAAAACTTTTCCCCAGCAACAAGGTTGCAAAAAGGCTAAAAACAAGGGACTGCTGGTTCAGCAGGAAAGTAAGATAAAAGGAGGGGAGAGCCGGAAAGCCTGGACAAGCAAGATACTTTCGGGGACATTGTCTGATGACTCCCTTATCTTGAGTAACATTCTGTTCCTTTTGTCAAGGCAGTTTCTGGGCACTCTAGGAGGAGTGTTGTCTCAGCAAGGCCAAGTCCTATGCTGCCCTGAGGGGGCTTCACTATTTCAACATCCCACTCACTAAGTATAAAACATGGCTAGATCTAAAAAACTAATGACCCTATGCATGACATGTTAGTTCTTACAATAGCATGTCCATTCACTGGCTGTCTGACAAGGACCTCACATGTGGTATAACTGCCCCCTCTCCCACCACTCTGCCACCATCACTACACAACAGCAGTGTGGCCTGTGGCCCAAGATCTCATCACTTAGTGAGCAGCCTCCTGTGATGAGCCTACACTTCGCTATGCCAGTCTTCAGAAAGCAGCAGACAGAACGGGTCCTTGTAGGCCCTGCACTGCACCTTCCCAGCACAGGAAAAACTGCCAGAGCTTATGGCCCCTTTGACGATGCCTTCAATAACCCAGGATCACCTCCGCACTGTGAGGGAGCATCAGAAGAGGACTTTAGAGAGAAGAAATGGATACCAATTCCTCAAGGCCCAAATCAAAAGCCATGTCCTCTTCCAGCAAGCCTTCCCTGATCCCCTCCCCAATGCCCTACGTTCCCATGGATTGTTTGCCCTCCTTTTATGTACTTACATTCCATTACATATTATGGTATTTGCCCATGTGGTATAATCCTAGCGGCATAAACTCAGGAAGCACCTGGACAAAGCCCTTTCCAATCCCACTCAGCTGCTCAGGCCTCACCTCCAAATCACCTTGTTCTACCTTTGTATCTATTCTATAAATGCATCTGTATTTTACACATTCTCTCCTCTTTGTGCCCCCCTCCCCCCATATGCTCCTTGAGGGCAAGGACTTTCATGCTTGTCTTGCATCCCCCACTCCTAGCACTGTAACTGGTAAATAGTAGCTATGTTAACTGACTTGATGCTGGTGCGCAAGAGGGCAACCTCCCAGTAAACTCATGTTGAAGCTAGCCTCAATTCAGTGAACTGGCTGTCTCAGTGCTTTCTGGAGCTTCCAGAAACTCTTTTGGTGTGATCCTGGAGATCTGCTGTAGCTCCCCCTTCACCTCTCCTCTGCAACTGCCATCCTCCAAAGGCCTGTTCTCTGAGGCAAACCTCGGACATTCAAGTGACTTTTGCCTCCTTCTCTGCCAGGCTATCCCTCCCATCTGCTGGGTCTGCTCTTGGCTACGGTAGCTTCGCTGTCTTCCTTGGAGGGAACGTTATTGTTGTTTCAGCAATGACTGTCTTTGGTCAGCAATCCCCCACCAAGTCTAAACAGCCATTTTCAGCAGTTTTGTTGTAAGACCTATACTAACTACACAAAAGGGTCACTCAGTCAATTAGCAAGTCCTTGTTCATTTGTCCCCCTTACAGAAAAGTCCCCAACCTTGTGACAGCAATGGAAGAAAAAAGAAAAGAATTATCAAATAAAACATCAAAAAACACACAGAAGAAAACAAAAGTCATAAAGGTTCAGATACAAATGAAGCAATTTTGTTGAATTTGTTAAATGTTTTACAAAAAACAAAGAGAAGTTCACAATATCATACAGAACCTCTCTTTTTGTTCTTTATGTTTTCTGATGACTGAGTTCATTTTTTTAAAAAGCCAAATTTTCAGTAGAAAGGTCCCCAGCCTTCACTAGCTGCTGGATTAGGGTGAATGAATTCCTTTCACCTCTTCTCTGGCCTGAGTACAGGCTGCATGCACCCATATCACCTCTTTGTCTCCTGAAGAGTCTGAGAATAAGAAACCCCTTCAATTGTCTTAAAGTTTGAATAAACCTAATGGAGGCACTGCTGCCACCATGGCAAAGAGGCCTGTTTCTCTTTCACAGGTTAAGAGAGCAGGTATTAGCCAGGAAAAGACTCTTACTAGTGACACCTTCTGTCTTTTCACACTCTGCAATTCTAGGGCTAGCCTAGGTCTTCCACTCTAGGGGCCCTTAACCTGGTCTGCAAACTTTTTTTTAAAAACTATTTTTGTACCTGTATTTCATTATAATTGGGTTTTCTTGTGATAATCATTTAAGATCAATTGAGCCCCAATAAGGGCTGAAAACCTGAATTAATCTTATCTTCCTGAGTAAACTGAGAATGCCCCTTCCTGTGTCAACAGCTAAAGCTGACTAAGAGCATTCTTATGTTTATGACCACTAAGGTGCCTTTAACCCAGACACTACCTGGATAGCGGTAAAGGAAACACAGATACCCTGGATCTGACATTTGCCTATCTTATTTAAATTTTCTTTCTCATACTCTGGTGAAACAAATGGAGATCATAAACTGAGTAACACAAACATCCTGAGCCAGGGTTTAAATGTCCTCCAAAATTTGCTTGATGCAGTCAGAGTTAAACCTCTGCCTCCATGTAACAATATGAATTTACTTATCACCTAGACTGTTTGAATCTTTAATTAACTTTCAGGTCAACACTTGGTAATCCTATGTATTTTATTTTATGCATTTCATTAAGTCAGTAAACATTTTTATTAAGTGCCTACTGTGTGCCAGGAGCTCACAATCTAGTGGGAGGAGGCAACAAGCAAACTACTATATAGAAACAAGCCATGTAGTTGTTATTCAGTTGTGCTGGGCTCTCCATGACTTCATTTGGGGTTTTCTTGGCAAGGACAGGGAAGTGATTTGCCATTTCCTTCTCCAGCTCATGTGATGGATGAGGAAACTGAGGTAAACAGGTTTAAGTGACTTACCCAGCTAGGAAATATCTGAGGCTGGATTTGAATTCAGGTCCTCTTGACTCCAGGTCTGGTGCTTGATCCACTTGAACCATTTATGCTTCTTGTAGAATCTGGGATTTTAGCTGGAACTTGAAGAAAGTCAGGAAGCCAGGAGGGGAAAAGCTAGTGAAAATGCCTGGAGTACAGAGAGAGAGTGACTTGTTGGAGAAATAAGTAGGAGGCTAGGGTTGCTGGACTGAAAGGAGGCAGAGTAAGGTCTAACAAAACTGGTAAGGTAGGAGATGGCTAGTTCCCTAAGGGCTTTCAGCACCAGAGGATTTTATGCTTGATCCAGCAGGTGGTAGGGAGCCACTGGAGTTTATTGTATTGGGAGTGGTACTGTAAGACCTGCACTTTAGGAAGGTCAATTTGGCAGCTGAGTGGAGAAATGGATTGGAGTGATCGTGGCAGGGAGACCCACCAGCAGGCTACTGCAATAGTCCAGGTGTGAGGTGATGGGAGCCTGTAGGTACCAGTGTGGTGGCAAAAGATGTTAACATCGGGAGGCCTCGGCATGGGCTGGATATTGGAGTCCAGGATGACGTCGAGGAGGCCGGTCGGGGGGGGGGGGGGGGGGGGGAATGGTGATACTTTCCAAAGTAACAGGGAAGTTAGGAAGAAAAGGGAGTTCCTAGGTTTCACTAGACTTCCAAAAGGGTCCCCGAACCCCCAAAAAGGGCTCAGACACTCTGCTTACACCAACAGAGCGATTGACAAGAACTATGGTCATTTGAAGTTTCAAATGAAATGGAAAGGACTAGGTTACACTACCTTCAACGTCGTAAGGTCACACAACAGTAAAAATGATCCGGCAGGTGTGGAGATTTTCTCAGTGTATACGTCTGTACACACACTTGTAACTGTACACACCAGAGATGTTTAGAGTTGGAAGGGCTCTCGAGAGATGACCTCATCCAGGGTTCCTCCACTATTTTCCCTGTTTCGTCCAGAAGCAGCAGCGTCCCGTGGCTGACCCCTCCCCGGGGCCCCCCAAGTCTACCTGCGGCCCCGTCACCACCTGAGGGAGTCCAAGGGCAGACTGATGATTGGCTGGGCTCCCCGGGGGGGGGGGGGGTGACCCAGTGGTCAGGTGACTCGGATTTAAATGAAACCTCGGAGCGCTGTGTGAGGAAGAACAAGTTCCCCTCCTCTGGCTCGGGGGGATACGACACAACTTAAAGGCTGGGTTTCTGCCCCCAGATAGCCTTCCACGCGGTGGGACCTGGAGCACATGGAAAAGGGAAGCCCACCCGAGCGCCGGGCAGGCCAGCTGCTTCCCTAAGGGCCCCCCCCCCGCGACTGGAACCGCGTTTGCGCGCAGGGGCATGGGGGCCACCACGGCTGGGGCGGGGGAGGGTAATGTCGGGGTCGGCCGACACCCGGGGCCGCCCCGGCCAACTCCCTGCCCAACCCCGCAGGCTATGGCGCAGTAGCTCCTTGTCCTTGCCCGCTCGTCCCGTGCCAGTGACAAAGGGAAAAGCACAATGAATCCAGGGCCCGGCTTTCCGGCCGCGGCCCCTTTAAGAGCAGAACCTCCCGGAGCTGCCCGTCCCAACCGACCCCAACTTAACCGAAACCCAACCCGGACTTCCCCGTTACCGCTCAAATATTGCCAACTTTGGATTTTCCCTCCCCTGCTAACCAATCGGATTGCTGTTACTAGGCAGACTTGAGCTGCTGCCGAAGCGAGTGAGGCGCTCTGTCTCTGGGAGGCTGCATGGACCAATAGCAGACGGGGCCGGCTGGCGTATCCGGGCAGATTGGGGCGGAACCAACCAATCAAAAAAAAAAAAAAGGGCCAAGCAACGAGTGGAACCGGGACTGTGAAGCCGACCCAGAGTCGTGGTGGCTCCGAGGTAGTTTCTCTTTCTCTACTCCTTTTTTTCCTCTTTGGGAATTAGAGCTGATGCTTAAAGGTGGGGAGGGGAGGGTTTGACGTAGAGCAAACTAGAGAGAATTTGGGCTGCATTTGCAACTCCTATTCCACACCCTGCAGCCACCAGCACACCCAGAGTCCCCAGTTCTTGGGACACCCCCCTTCCCGGGCGGGGACCTATCTGGCCACGCCCCGTGCCCCTTCCCCATTTTGCGACGAGTAGGTGAGCCGCGGCCCAGGGGTAAAGGTGGGGCACCTGTACCCAGCTAGGCATGGGGTGGGGGGCGTAGTGGGGACGAGCAGTTGAGCCCAGTGACTGATAGAGGTGATGGGGGTGGGGGTGGGGGTGGGGGTGGGGCGATGAGTCTGGATTTTCTTCTCCTCCCACCCCCTTCCCCACCGTCTGATTTGGGGCGGGGGCGGGTGGAAAGGCCGCTGGGACTAGGCAGAATGGAGGAAATGCTAGTAGGGGAGTAGGGGTGTGGAGGGGGCGCCACTTCTGCATGACCCCACATTCCCTCTGGGGTTCACCTTGACCCTCAGGTAGCTAATTAAAAAAAGTTTGGAGGACTTTGCAGAGTTTAACTGCGCTTAAGGGGAGGCAAGTAGTGCCAGGAGGTCCACTGGAGTTCACTGGGTTCATGGGTTCTGTTTCTTTCTCCTTTAAGTGACTTGAGGGGTGCCAAGGGTAGGGAAGACATCCAAGATTTAAATCTGTCTCACTCAAGTTCTAATGCCAGGATGGCAGAAGATGAACCTGATGCCAAGAGCCCAAAGACAGGTGGAGCAGCCCCAGGCAGTGGGGATGCTGGTGAACCTACCACTCTCCTACAGAAGCTCCGAGGGTCTATCTCGTAAGCCCCCACTCTATCCATCCTGCTACACCTTGAGCTCTAGCAGATCCTTATGGGCCTCAGTTTCCTCATCTGTAAAATAAGGGGGTTGGACTAGATAATAACAAGCTTCCTGCTTTAAATATGATCAGTCACCGCTATTTGAGTGTTTGCTGTGTGCAGGTACTGTGCTAGGTGCTTTCTCTCCCTTCCCCAGTAATTAGACCCCAAAGGCTTAGCTAGAACTCTTAACTGCTGACGGTCAGCTTTCTCTTTCCCACAGCAAAGCGGTACAGAACAAAGTAGAGGGGATCCTGGTGAGTAATATGGGTCAGGGTGTGACAGAAATAATGGGTTCACTGGGGCAGCTAGGTGGGGCAGTGGATAGAGCTCAAGTCCAGCCTCAGACACTTGACACTTACTGACACTCTAGGCAAGTCACTTAACCCCTATTGCCTAGCAAAAAAAAAAATAAAGGATTCACAAGAGCAAAATGATAGTTTAGTGGAAAGAAAATGGGAGGCAGGGCCAGCAAGGTGGTTTCTAATCAGAGCCATATAGTAGGACAGATACATGACCCTGGACAAGTCACTCATCCTAGTGAGCCTGGACTCCCTTGCCTGTAAAATGGGGGGCTGGACTAAAATCAGTGAGTAGGCATCACAGGACCCAGCACGGATCTCACTGCCACCTCTGCTTACCCTCTTTCCCCAATCCCAGCAAGATGTGCAGAGGTTCTCGGACAACGACAAGCTGTATCTTTACCTTCAGCTCCCCTCAGGCCCCAGTGGCGGAGATAAAAGGTAAGCTTAGTACCTGCAGATGGGGTTTAGGGAAAGAGCGGGAAGGGATAGAGAAGCAGCTTGGCAGAGAGAACCAGGACAGCCTGGGTTCATAACCTGTCTTTGACACAGACGTTGTCACACAACAGGTACCTGAATCAATATGAGCAATTTTCACAGCAGGAGTCCCCCCCTATCAATGCAATAATGATCTGGATCAGAAAAGGGAGGGGAGAAAGGAGAGCTGGGATTTTCTGTGTTTCTGGTGTCCAGGGCTCAGATCACCTGTGTGTGGGCAAGGGTATATTCAGTGTGGACTGGGTGCTGTGGTGGGGAGTGGAAGTGTTCCTTCTGAAGCCTCAATGACCTCCTCGTCTTACCCTCAGCAACCTGGAGCCAAGTGCACTCAGCCATGACGAGTATATGTACGCCTACAGATGGATTCGAAACCACCTAGAAGAGCACACGGCCACCTGTTTGCCCAAGCAGGATGTTTATGATGCTTATAGGTGTGTGAGGGGGAAGGGGTACAGGCAGTGCAGAGACTACACACTCCGGGTTATGCTTTTGTACACCCAGATCTCCCTGGGACTTTTGTTCATCCCTAGATGTTTCCTTCGCCTCATTGTCATCTTCAGATCTCCTACCTGCCCCCCCAACACACACACACACACACACACACTCATGCACATGCGCCCTCCCAACTATAATCCCTTGTATTTACTGGTCTTCCTTCTTCCTCCTTTGGGCACCTGGCCATCCTTGATCCCACCTTACCCCAGGAGGTACTGTGAGAGCTTAGCCTGCTGCCGCCCGCTTAGCACTGCCAACTTTGGCAAAATCATCCGGGAAATCTTCCCTGACATCAAGGCCCGGAGGCTGGGAGGCCGGGGCCAATCTAAGTATCCTTGCACGGAAATGTGGGGAAGTGAGTGAAAATGAGAACATTTGGGGGGGCAGGGAGTGCAGTATTCTGTAAGGTATTGGGATATCCCTTTTTGGGGCTTCTCCTTAACTTAATACCAGATATTGCTACAGTGGTATCCGAAGAAAGACCTTGGTATCTATGCCACCCTTGCCTGGACTTGACCTCAAGGGCTCAGAGAGTGTGAGTAACAACAAATACCTCTCTGAGACCTCCCCCTTCCATCCCAGGGTGTGAATCTCACTGAGAAGTTCACTGGACACACTTTGAAACCCGTCTCGGTTTGGGTCACCTGTCCTGGATGCTTCATAGCTAACTATCCTATGGCTAGGCTGGGGCCACAGACCACCTGGGATTCTGTTGAAAGATAAATTCAGACTTCCCTTCCCATTCTAACATTGGCTTTAGCAAAAGCCACGAGGGTTTGAATCCCTGGGGAGGGGAATCCTGGGGTATGTAGCTAGATGTGTTGTCTGCCACCTGTAGCCAGAGTTGGGCCCAGAAGTGGGTCCGGGTCCTCGGGATGAACTAGTGGAAGCGGCCTGTGCCCTGACCTGTGACTGGGCAGAGCGTATATTAAAACGCTCCTTCAGCTCCATCGTGGAAGTGGCCCGATTCCTGCTGCAGCAACATCTCATCTCTGCTCGATCTGCTCATGCACATCTGCTCATGGCCATGGTGCTCGCTGGTAGGTTGACTCTACTTCCTATCATCTGAGTCCTAGCCCACACACTGGAGTAGAGCCACCCCAGACTTTACCATCATTTCCATACTTCTATCATAACCTATCCCCACTTCATTTCTGGTTTTTCTGCACACCCCAAGCTAGAAAATCCTGTGCCTTTTCAGATGAACCTGAACGGCTCCCACGGGATCCCTCATCCGCTACCAAGAATGGTCTGGAGAACCCAGAAAGAAGAGCCTCTAAAGGTCAGCCCCAGGTGAGGAGGCCAAGTAACTCTCAACTTTTAGGCCCTAAAATGCTGCGGGGGGGGGGGGGGTAGGCAGAATGGGGTAGGAGGTTATAATACTTCTAGCTGTTGACCTGTGCCTTAGTCACCTCCATACCTGTTTCTCCTATCAGTTTTCTCCCAACCCTATACCTTGCTCCTTCACTCTTTTCTTTTCAGTCCCCCAAGGAGCCGGAGCCCCGAACTGGGTCTGCCCTCCCAGCTCGAGGGGAGCGAAAGAAAACTGCAGAAACCTCAGCCCCAGCAGCCAGCAGCCCCCAAGTGAATGCTCTGGTTGCCCGACTGCCTGTGCTCCTTCCCCGGGTACCCCACCCACAACTTCCTCGGCCTGTCCGAGTCTCCCCACCAGTCCTGGCCCCCAAACTTCCCTCAGGTACCCTAAAAGTCACTACACTGCCTTTGCCCAGTGGGGCTGGGGTATCTCAGGGTACTCTGCCCATCATCAACATGATCTTGCCCACTGTATCTGCTGTGCCTGTACCTGGGAGAGCTCCACCAGAAGGTTCCACCCAGTCTCAGGGCCTTGAGAAAAACAGGGAGATAGGCCCAGGGGTGGACTTGGGACCACGGGGCAAGGGAGTGAAAAGGACAGCTGAAGTGCCTATGAGTGACACCAGAGGACAAGAGCTAGCAGCCAAAGTATTAAGCCAGGATACAGAAGAAATAGGGATCGATGCCAAGCGTAAAAGAGGGCGTCCTCGAAAGAAATCAAACAGCGAGGGGGAACGGAGCTCCTCCCCTGAGAAGCCACTGCCTGCTACAGACTCGGCCCATTCCTTTAGGGCACCACAAGAGTCTCAGGGCTTTGGAGGGGAGAGTGACCTAGCTAAAGGGTCAGTGGGAAAGGTGGAGGAGAAAAAAGTGCCTTCTCTTGGCCAGGAAGATGGCACTGATTTCAAGGGAGGAAGGGGACCTAGTGCCCAACATGCCAAAGAAATAGGGGACAAAAGTCTTGTCACTCCTAAAGTGAGTGTCATTAAGGGCAACAAAAGCTGGGAGGGAGCCCCACAGTCCACGAGAAAAGAGGTAACAGAACCTACAGGGCAAGGTAATAAAGACCCAAAAGGGAATGTGTCCCAAGGCTCCCTATTCTTGGGACATAAAGATCCCAAAGCAACACCCCCTTAATAGGTACATGGGGGGAAATTGAATATCCCCACATGCACCTAATCTGTCCATCTAAGAAGGCTCCCTTCTCTCTGATCCTGCTCGTTATTTGGCCACGCCTTTCTCAAGGGAGACTTGTCCTAGTCCTTCCCCTTCTGGACTTCTGTGTTCCCCAATCTGACCACATCTTGTCCCTCCCTTTGCCTAGTTCCCTTGGCTTCAATGCTACCTAGCAATAAACCTGCCATGCCCCCTACCTTGATCTCTGAACCTTTCTTTCAGGGAGTTGTGAGTACCAGCTGTGAGCTGAATGTTTTCTTAGTTTACAGGTTGAATGGTCAAGCCCTAAGAGAACAAAGCAGTTTAAAGTTGAAAAGAACCTTAGAAAGCATATAGCACAGATAAGGAAACAGGCCTGTGGGCTTGAAGGACTTATCCAAATATGCCATGTATTTGGCTAAGCCTATTTTGTCCAAGTCTCTTGTCGATGTTGTTCAGTCATGACCTATTCTTCATGACCCTTTTTGGGATTTTCTTGGCAAAGAAACTGGAGTGGTTTGCCAATTCCTTCTCCAGTTCATTTTACAGATGAAGAAACTGAGGCAAACAGAGTAAAGTGAACTACCCAGGGTCACACAGCTAGTAAGTGTCTAAAGCCAGGTTCGAACTCATGAAGATGAGTCTTTTTGATCCCGAGCCCAGTGCTCTATCTATCCACCTCTATTTCTGGTCACTCTTACGGATCTAGCCCATTCCAGAGGATCAAGATATGTTAATTATTTCTTATGAAAATTTTTTCCTTGAACAAAAGTCAGTCTCTCTATAAAGTATTTCCTACTCAGAAAATCCTTTACTCTTCGATTTCTTTATACTACAAGGAGTTTCAGTGTACTGGAAGCTTCAGTCTGATTTAAGTCTGATAACTCGTATCTTAATAGTAAGCCAACTTCTTCTGTATCTCCTGTCTTCAGCACAATTTAAAATTAATCAAACAAGTGATATCCATGGTCACTGTATCTCTCCCAGCTCCTTACACCATCCCTCATATTCCTGTCAGAACGAGAAACTTTATACTTATACATGCCAATAGAGAATTCCATGGAGGACACATACATCACATCCCATATACAACTGCAGTGCCTTCCTAGTACTTATAGTAGGGCCAAGGACCCCCCTTTTTTTTCCTATCAAGAGCCTAGTAAGGAAAGAACAACTTAATTCCTCTGAGGGTTTGAGGGAAAGGTTGAGAAAGAAAAATACATTGTGTACTTAGACTTCTCATCCACTTTTAACATTAAGAACAAGGATCATAAAACTATAAAGTCCGATAAGTGATACATGTACCTCAATTCTGTATTACTATCAGTTAAGGAATAGACAAAGAAGGAAGGAAGTAGACTAAGAAAGTGAGGTGAGGAAGAAGAGAAACAAATTGTTATAAAGGCAAAGAAAATCACAGAAACATAACCTTCACATACACCTGCCTCTACAGACACTTCATACTATTCGCACTATGTTCTAAACAACTGGACTACTAGTCCCTGAATTCAACAGACCATCTTAAAATCTCTGTCATCTCCTACACAGAGCCTTATTTAAGAATTTTTACACAAAAGGCAGCAAAACAACCTGGAGGTACCAGAAAGAGGTGGGAAGTGAAGGGTTGGTAAGGCATTCAGTCCTGCAGGCCATCTGGTGGCTTCTTAATTTACTTAATTATAATTTTGAAAATTGTGTTGATATATTTTGTTTTTTCATGACCTACATTCCCCAAATGTAGCTTTCCCACTCTCTGCTCCCAGAGCTTTTATAATAAAAAAGAAGAAAAAAGCAGTTCAACAAAAACAGTCAACATATTAAAAAAACTGACTTTTGCGCTTCTACCTCTGAAAAAAGACAGATGCTTTTCTGCCTATTGTGGGAGGGAGGGTGTCAAGTTTGGTCATATTTCACAGCATTTAGGGTTTTTTTTTTTAATTCTAAACTTAAAACACCAAAAAAAAAAGAAAATGCTAAGTTCATAGATAGAGCAGAAGTCATTAAATACATTGTTTTAATGGTTCTGCCTAATTCACTTTGCCTCAGTTCACATAAGTCTTCCTTTGCTTCTCTATCATAGTAAGTATGCACATTAATATTTTATCATATTCATAACAATTTATTTAGTCACTCTCCAATCTATGGGCCTCTACTTTGTTTCTAATTACTTGCTTCTATAAAAACGTGCTGCTAAAACATTTTAGTGTATATAGAGCCTTCCTTTTCATCATTGAACTCCTTGAGATATACCTCTAGCAATGGAATCTTGGGGTTGAGGAGTGTGGACATTTTTTTAGTCACTGTCATCACTTAATTCCAAATCTCAAGAATGGTTGCACTGACTAATTCACAACTCTACCAACAATGTATTAGCATGCACATCTTTCCACAGCCCCTTCAACATGGACTATTCTCATCTTTTGTCATCTTTGGCAATTTACTAAGTATGAAATAAAACCTTAAAGTTGTTTTTATTTACATTTCTCTTTATTTTTAGTGATTTGGAACATTATTCCAGAGTTAATAGTTTGCTAGTCTTCTATTGAAAACTGTCCATAGAATTTGTGAATGAATGAATGAACATTCATTAAAGTCTTGCCATGTGCTAGGCCCTGTGCTAAGCAGTTACAAGCACAGAAAGCAGGACATTTCCTGCCTTCAAGGAGCTTACATTCTAATAGGAGAAGACAATATATATGGAGAAGTGGTGGCTTGGAGGGATGTTTTGGGGGAGGAATGGTAAGTAGATCCACAGGCAATTGATTGACTTGTCCTTTCCTGCAGGGCTAATGCAGAAATTTGTTTTGTATGACTATATATATTTGTAATGGGTTTTGTTTTTCTTGTCTTCTAAAGAGCAGTGGAGAGGGAGAGGGGAGTGAGAAAACTTAGAATTGAAAATAAAATTTAATAAATTTTTTAAAAAGTTATCTGCTTCATATATAACCTATATCAAATTACTTACCATTTTAGGGAAGGAAGAGAGGGAAGGAGAAAAATCTGGAATTAAAAAAAAAATTTTAAATGAATGTTTAAAATTGTTTTTACATGTAAATGGAAAAAATAAAATATTATAAAAAAGTTATGTCCGTTCCAGAAATAGTAGTATTAAGTTGATTGCAGTTCTTAGAGCTAGAGGTAGAAATGGGGGAGAGGGGAGGACGTACAGCAAGAGTAGCATAGTGGGTTTGGGTTGGGCTAGATAATGAACTTTCACCAATCAGAAACTAAACTTTAAGGGGAGAGAGTTGCTGGAAAAGCAATAGAAGAAAGATTTGCCCTTTATGAACATGGAGGTATCTGGACCAGTGAAGTAGGTAAGAGGTTGAATTTGGAGAGGAGAAATTTGGCAAAATTTGGGAGAAATTGAAGAAAATCTAAAAGAGAACCATATCCAGACCCACATACTGGTCCAGAGTTACTTGATTGTTTTAAGAGAAGCAAGGTCAAAGACAAATAAAAATATAAAACAATTGAGTAGGATTAGGGAGTGGACCTTGAAGATACAGAGTCAAGAAGGAAGAGGAGATGGATGGCAATAAGAAAAGGTAAGTGCAACAAATAGAGAGTTGAATAAATTTATAGAGTGGATTGTTGGGTAGGGCAAATTGGCTGCATAAGGTATAAACACAAGTTAGTTTGGTTTTTTTAGGCTAAAAACCTCAACCATTATGCAGAACCATCCCTAGGGTATGGGGGAGGCTCCTCGCCCTGGGGGGAGGGGGGACTGTCTATATAAACAGTTTATTAAAATTATATTAAATTTATAATTTATATTAAATTATATATTCTATAAAAATAATGTGTCAATGAAAACTTACGATAATTATCTTACAACATTCATCTCTTCATAAAAAGTCTTGTGATTTAGAATACTGAACTGTACAGAGCAGAAATGACTACATGACTTTGGGTCACTACTGTAGTCTTTGTGGATCTTCCACCCCCACCTCTCCATGCTCTAGGCCCTTTTTGCTACACTACTCATCAGATATCCATAGCTTCATTTTCAGAAAGTGTTTTCAACACCATAAAAGGAACAGCCCACTATCACTCCCCAATAATATTCATTCCAAGAAAAATGGAAAATGTTGCCTTTTTTGTAACAGTGTGTGTTAACAAAACACAAAGGATAAAAACTTTGTCATAGATTGGAATTGTTTCAACTCATTTCACGTGAAAAAAGGCTCTTTATAAAAAAAGTCCTGAAATGATATTTGTTTTCATGAAATAGTTAATTTTAAAGAATTTTTGTTGTCTCACACTGAAGTTTAAATTATTACTTTTAAATATTATTTGTTGTGTTAGTAGTACAAATAAACCAAAGAATGGAATGTTGATATTGTTTTTATATTTCATAGTGGAATGTTTTTTGAAATCTCAGATAAATATCTTTCTCAAACATTTTGTATTAAATATATATCATACATGCAAATCATAATTTAAGAAAATGAAATCAAGTAGAACTTGTTTCAATTGTTGATAGAAATTTTTAACATTTTTGTATTAACAATTGCACTCCACCTTGCCTTTTGCACTATTGTTTATAATAGTTTAAATACACAAAATTAAAATATTATAGTTTATACATTAATTATCTAGCCTCTAACTTAAGATATGAGAGAAGACCTCTGTTGAGTACTTTAATGGCAACCAATCTGCCTTCTTTAGATGGAATAATTTTTAAATCTAAGTTTATAACATTAAGTTCATAACATTAATGATTACAATATATTTTTAAAACAAATTTGAAATAATAGCTTATTGTGTGAATTAAGAAATTAAGCATTGGAGCCAATTCAAGCCATGTTAAAAATTCTAAAAAGCAAATGTAAAACATCAAAAGCAGCTAACTGCTCAGAACACAGTGTATGCAAATATCAGTATTTAAAGATTTAAAAATTAATATTTTAATAAGACCAAAAAGGGTTTTGTACCTTTAAATAACATATTTTAATTGTTTATTTCACCTTTATTTCTTTTTAAAAATCTGTTTTTGTGTATGTTTTATAAGGCAACATATTAGTACCTTAGGACATGCATATAATTTATAAACAAAATTTTTTACTGATGGAGTATACTGGGAGAATTTAAGGGACGTGGCCGTCACATAGCTAGCTTTGGTTAAGGGCCCACCTGCTAAAACAAGCTGCCTTTCCACAGAACCTTACAAGATGCTACAACTTACCTCCCTGCAGATTAAACTCACTACTTCTA